GTAAAAAGCACAAGTGAAATAAATGAGAAAAATATTAAAAAAGTTATTCTATGATTAGGAAAAAAATATACACTACAACAAAGTCTTTTTTTTGCAAATGTCTGTAAAATTTCAAATAACTGTCTTTAGAAAGATTTCAACTTCCACTATTACTAAACAAAAAAAATATTGAAATTCGATTCATGCTTTTATTTGGCTTAACTAGGTAAGCATCAACCTGCATTTACGGAGGGAGAGAGAGGGGGAAATCTGGAATTGCTTTGACTTTTTAACTGGTTTCTGCTTTACTCGAATATTATTTGAAACACTCGCAAGACGAGGCACGCAGTACCAAAGTTTGAAGGTTATATAAACACATGCAGAATAGTCTTAATGCACAATTTGAGTATGTTTCCCTTGTAAGGGTAATTATTAAAAGTCATAACATGATGTTAGAGTTGTTTTATTCATGATTAAAATTGTCGCTGTTATTATATATATATATTTGTATTGGCATATTATATGTTCAAAGTCCAAGCTCTTTAAGATGGCTAGTATAAAGCTTAGATAGTGGAAAAAACTGTAAAATTTAGTAACACTTGTCTGATTGTTATACTTGTCATTTTCGGTGACACTAGATTCATCAAGGTTCAGAAATTTAACTTTATCCTTGCACCGCTGTGACATGGTCGCAACTTCCAATCTTTCGGTATCATTGGGAAAATTGGAGGAAAAAAAAAATTGTCAAGTCCATGTTCAGAGAGATGAAGGTCTTAAGTGTAATCGCTTCCCATCAAAAAAGCCACCATGACAGCTTCAGCGGCAATTCTGGCACTTTTAAAAATTCCAAATTCGCAGAGTCTTTAAGAAAAAAACTTGTCGATTAAATTACCAGGTGAAATTATACTGATTCATTCAACTTAAAAAAAAATCATTTCATTGAAAACAAATACTTAAAAAATTTCAACTAAGACCTTCACTCAAAAGAGAAAATTAAGTCGTGTTCGGTAACCCGAGAGTCATCTAGCTTCACAAGTCCGTGTCAAACCAGGACGCTGCAAGTTGATTGTCCGCAGGTGGTATGTCATCCAGATTGAGGTCAGCAGACGGAGGTCCTAAATCAGGAATGGGCGGTTCCATAGGGTAGTCTCCACCATGTCCTCCTAAATCCAAGTCTTGCATTGGTTCAACTGGTATTTGCGGATCATGATAGGATCCTGTGGGAAATCAAACAGAAGTCAGAAATTTGTGTATAGAAACATTGACAGTGGTTTTCTGGAACCTAGAAATGTGTACAATTAAAAAAAAAATGTTTACCTTGGTATCACATCTACAAAAACTGCTAACTGATATTTTTAGCAACTATAATATCAATGACTTGATACAATGTCAAGTTAAAACAGGATGCAAGACGATAAGGTGATTCATATGAACAGCAGGGGATATTAAAATCATGGAGATCAACAAGAAGTAAGCTGTGACTTACCAGGATGTCTGTGCATACCATGATGTCCACCACTATGTACACTGCTTACACTGCTATGGTGTGAATACATTCCTTCTCGATACGGCTCATCAGGTGGAAGCAAGGCTGCCCCCAAGTCAGACATGTCAGTTGGCTGTTGGAAAGAATTTAGTTACAAAATCCAGTAGTACAAATGATGATTCTCAAGTCAAGCATGCAGTACAAAATCCAGTAGTACAAATGATGATTCTCAAGTCAAGCATGCAGTACAAAATCCAGTAGTACAAATGATGATTCTCAAGTCAAGCATGCAGTACAAAATCTTTAATGTCTGCACAAGCACAGTAATCCATTCACAAAATGTTGCTAAAGTCGCTGACTTGTCATGCAGGGACACCAGTAGTGTTCAGTTGTGCAGCTGCTACAAACTATGATTTGCCAGTATTCACAGTTAAACATACTTACAAAGTTATCTTTGTTTAATTATTAAAAAATGTGATAACAAAAATGCAATATGGAGGAGTGATCACGCCATTTTTAATTTTCAAATACAACATTTTTGACTGAATAAACTTGATTTAAAATTTGACATTTTCTCCTCATGATTTGAAAATATGTTTGTACATTTTCCACCTACCCTCCACCCCCTTCCAAATGTACTCTTATTTATTAGTGAACATAACTTACCTCTGACCATGGCATAGAGTCTGCACGGAAGAGAGAACTTGTCAATTCAACGGATAATCTTTTCTTGTAGTCTTGTGGTTTGTCTTCAGACATTCGGAACAATACAGCAGCAGCGTAAGTGGCCACACCTTCATTCCGAGAATGCAAAAGTTCTGTGAGAGGGGCAGTGGCACCCTCCTGTTCAATTGCTTCAGCACCCTCTTTGTCCTGGGCAAGCTCACACAGTACACCGGCGGCAACACGCTGGATATTGTCAATATTGGAGTACAGTAACTGAAATTTAAATAATCAGTGTTTAAAATTATTGATATTTACACAGATAATGACAAACCATTTATAACTGCCATGCCACACTAGTTTTCTGTTAGTAAGAAATCGAAAATCTACACAGTAAATATCGTACACATATTACAGCAGACTTACCTGCACAAAGAGTGGTATACAATTAAGTCCTCTGATAATAGCACGGTTATGTGCTTCACGAGCCAAGATATGCAATGCACCAACTGTGCCTTCAACAATCTCCTCCATACGTACGCCATCATTGAACCCACTCTGGTGACTGCTAGAACTACCCATGGATGCTCGCTACAGAATAACAATACAAAATGATTAATGTCAAATTATCATTCATTAAACTACAGTGACTGGTTATAGCTGTATAAATCAATAAATAACTCACCCTCTGTGTGTCTTGGTGTGCCCGCATCAACAACTGCACAAGTCTAGGAAGGGCGCCATGTTCTCGAAGTGGTGCATGATTGGCCGGGCACAGAGCCAAATTTCGGATTAGGCCAACAACAGCTTTAATTAATGGCCATCTGGATGGTGGGTGGAGTAGTTTTACCAGGACTGGTAGTCCATAGTGTAATCGGACAGCATTCTGGGCCATCTCTGCTTCTGGGTGACGACTAGTTAAATGACGCAGTGCACATACCTGTGTTGATAATTAAAACCAATTAATAATAAACAAAACACCACAAGACATGCATGACTTTATTGGACTTTAAATTTATTGTGTCATTTGACCAGCATCTCATTTCTGAGACTGCATAATTGCTGCATGTACAACACTTAGTGATAAAACTAAATAGAAGATTTATTCAAAATTCAATTAAGAAATTTTCATGCCGGTTGAAATGTTATTCAGCCAAATACACAAACTATCATAGGATAGCAGTAAAGTAACTTACGGCTGGTTCTGTGATGTCTTCTCTGTCTCCTGCTTGCAGTATCATCCTGACTAAGGCCTCAATGCCACCGACTTGACACACTGTTATCTTATTACGGGCGTTATTGCAGGTCAGGTTAGATAAGATACCTCCTGCGCATGTCACCACATTGATATCGTTGGATGACAATAGCTGTACCAGCATCTGCAGTAAACCTTCAATACCATCCTACATTGAACAAAGAAAGGCAAAGCAATGACAGTCAGCGACAAATTTAGTTTTGGTCAAGAACATTTTTTATCTCAATGACCTTGTCTTGTAAGGCAATAAGGGCCTTTAATTCATACAAAGTTGTAGACATGTTGATCAGAAAAGAGGATCTATCGTCAGTTATCGTTTCAGACGGCAATTCCTATCAAGAATACCATATCATCATATCAACAATGGTACACCAGCAGAATTAAAACATTGAAATGATATTGATTGGTACATACCACTTTAGTGCCAGCATCTGACAGATTTCTCAGTGTCCAGAGACAATTCTGTACAAGTCTGTTACTTTGATGTCCAAGATGCATTCCTAAAGCCTGCATACCACCTGACAGAAAATTTACACATTAACACGATTGCAAATGGCCACACAAAATGTAGGTATCAACAAAATGTAGGTATCAACAAATTTAAAGTTCTATTGAATAGAGCATGCAAACAAGTTCAACATGTACTACCAAATCAAACGTGCATTTATGCTACATTTTCGGCACCATAAACTTTGCGAGCTCTTAAACGACAAACATTTCTAACTAAACAGAAATAACATTGAACAAGAAATGCAGGTTGACATGAACTTGTAAATAATTGTTGGCGATAGAGCAAAAGTAATTTGTACAACTTACCAGCATCTACGATAGCGGGTTTGTTGCTTGGACACACTGACAGCACTTTGAGTACACGACTTGTGGTCCACAGTAACTTCTCGTACGTGTAGCTTCTCATGATGCGTACCAGTTCAGCAGGACCACCACTTGCAAGGATTATCAGCTGTGCAAAAAAAAAAACAATATTGTCAGTGTTAGATATTTTACTGTATTTCAAAATAATGATACAGTAATACTTTGAGAGTAACACTTTAATATGCATGTTATTAGTGTCTTGCCTTGTGGAGTAATTTCTGAATCATTTATCTGTGAAGCATTGTAATTGAAACATGCAATATTTGTTAATCGCTTTATTCATTACGTTTTATACAAGTTCAATAATACTGTATTCCGACATTGTTGCAAAATACGGATCCTGAATTGAGACTACGACATGAATGCGAACGTGATAGAAACCACCGCAGTGTGTTCTTTTGTTTCAATTTTTATATTTATCCAATTAGATGCTTTCCCACTAATTTTCTTACACGGTCAAGAGTTTATCGATGTATATCAAGGGCATACTGCCAATTCTGTATCATTCTTACAATTTGTGTTTTATCGTTGAAATCGAGTTGTAAGTCTCCGAATTGCCAGCGGGTTTTCCATTAGTGAGTAAATCCTGAGTTTATTATTAAGTCGTTCTGTGGTGATTGGTGCTGGTTGTGTAGCAGATAATTTTGCATACTACATTTCGTTACATTTCCATAACCGCAACATATCGTCCCCCACATGCCTAGTTACCAAACATCACTTTAATGCAAGAAGGTAAATTTGAGATAATATTTTGAAGTGGTGATCTAGGCTCAATTAAATTTCTTTAGTCTGCTAGGCTACCCAGTTTGAAAAGTTAGTCTTAATTTCAAGTCCTGGGTGTTTAATAGTGTCATTAAAGGAGTTGCATGATCACTTGTGAAATGTTATAGACATGATTGTCAGTAAATCGTATTATCACAGCAAATCCACTATTTGATTATGAAAAACAAGGACTGAATGTAATCATTATTAAGCAATTCTGTTTTTTTAATGCTATAAATCTACAACAAAACAAGTCTTACCTTGGATTCTTGGTTGCCATAGGCAAGGATCTGTAAACAGTCTGTAGTGATGGCCAGGAATTTAACATTATTTCTCTGGAGAAGAGCCACCATTTTTTGTAGTCCGCCAGCTAGACGTACGGCCATCTTGGATCCTTCTTGGTGAAGTAGAAGGTTATGCAGGGTTGTGATAGCATAGAAAAGAACCGACTCTACTGGAGAACTGAAAGCAGAAACAAAGTGAATGTTCAGTAAATAAGTCTAACAGACAAGAGTAAAACTAAATGCAGATTTCATTACAAACTGTCAATGGTCATTTTCAAGACTTTAAATGACTGTACAAGCCAAAACGAGAATTTATACTCATTACTTTAAAATAAAATAGGGCGTATAGTTTCTGCTAGTTCTAACACAGGAATCATGAGGGTGAGCATAGTGATAAACTGGAGAAAACTGCTTTTCAAACCATAGATATAGGATTCAAATTCTTATGAATTCAATACATTTTTTATTTTCCCTCGTTTGAACCTTGGTACTCAGAATAATTTGAAACTTACCTCAATAACTTGACCAGGGCTGGAATACCACCTGACTTGAAGATCGATAGTAAACCTTGTCGGTGGTGAGAGAGATTATGTAATGTTCCCGCTGCACATCTTGTTGTCTCCACGTCGTTCGTGTTAGCCATGGCACGAACCAGTGCTGCCACCATTTGTGGGGAGTTCATAATAGCATGACGACTGGCTTCTTTTTTAGATAGCTGATGAACCATCATAGCTGCTTGACTGACGACAACCTTTGACAACCAATGACAGTTTTGTTACAAAGCAAATCAGTATACCAGAATATTGAAGCATTTGACCTCTTTTTCGCACTGTTAAGTGATTTTATAAAAACAATAAAATTTTGCTGCAGGCTAATATTGGTGTACACAAGAAACTGAAAATCTTACCTGGTCTTCATCGTTGAGCAGTTTGGTTAGTTCTGGTATTGCTCTTGTGGCTAGTTCTGCATCGTCTTGATAATTAATAAGATTTACAACAGCATGTTTCAGCATTTGGGATGGTTCTGCCAATCTCTGGACTGCTGTAGGGTGCTGTGGGTCAAACTGCGTGGAAGGGATCTGAACACCCTCGTCCAAGGTCTCGGGGAACATGGCAGCACGTACACGTTGGGAGCGTGTCTGATTGAGCTGCTGGTTCATTTCTGGAAAAGAAAGTTTTTAAGAGTCTACCATTACAACCAGGCTATTGCAGAAAGCCATTGAACAAGAACCAGAATATGTAATTCTGTGCAGAAATTGTGAAAACACTCCCATCTAAATTACTCTTACCATCAACCTGTTCCTGGGTATAATATCCTCCTTGGTCCCAGTTTCCAAACATAGCTTGGGCACCTGCAGCATCAAAATCATCATCATCTGGATGGCTTTTACTACTGAGAGATGGTGCATTTGTGGTGACTCCACTCTGAATACCAGAATCCCAGCCATGTTGTTGCCATTGCATTGTGTTCTGCATGGGATCTTGTTTAGGCAGGTCTTGAGGGTCAATGTACTCTTTTGATGTAATGGTGGTTGTGGTGGTGGTAAAGGTATAGTTTCCGCCTTGGCGACTGCGTACTTGCTCTATTTCATTTTCAATGCTCCTGTACAGACAGGTAAATAACAATCAGATGTGTCGAATATTTTATTTCATCAGTAACAATATTTTTTTACAAAACATATCGGTACCAATAATGGCCTAAATGCTCTAATTTTGTGACAGGGCATTAACTTCGAAGTTTAGAAGACATTATCGAAATGGCCTTATAGCATAACATGAGAAATATCAGTAGACATCAAATCAATTGGCAGTTTAATTCCTGCAATCTGAAAAAATTGTGAAATATTGTAGCATTGAACAGTCAATTATGCTGGGAAGTTATTGTCCTATTTTGAAAATATTGGATACTTTTAACTATAACTTTCAACTTTTAACTATGATTCTAAAACAGACATTACTGTGCACATTATGTTTTGCAATCCCACTCAATTCTAAGCATTCAGTGGCTGGCAATGTTCCAAACCAGCTGGGCATTTTGCTTTATGAATGGGAAACCCACAGTAATTAATATTTGAGTTTTCAGACAAAATATATAGTAACTAAAAAAGATTATAGTGATAATTCAGTTGAATTATCATTATTTTTTCAATTTCATATCTAAGATGGCAGGTGTCCAAAATCCCCCATGACTGCAAGACTCCCTAACTTCTTGGCAATACTGACAGACTCCTTAACTCCCAAGTTACAATCACAATTCACAAGTCTTACCTCATTTCAGCTTGCAGTTCATCTCTTCTGTGTGGGTTCTGATGCATCTGGTTCAATACACGCTGGCGTTTATCTTCAAGCATTCTAAGTAAATGCTCTTCTGTGTTACGCAAATCCTGATAAGAGACACATTGTTAGAATATCAGTGAGACAAACCCCTTCACCACCGTGATCAACTTGTGTTATTCCATAAAGTAGTCCCTTTTCAACATTCACAAATCTGTTCAGTCCAAAATTATCACTAGTTAAAATTAACATAATCTGAACAATGTGAAACACTGACAACTGAAATTTGTTCAACACTATTAGTATGTGGATATTTTTTAGTTATCTGCATTCAGCACAGATTAAAATTCACTAAGGCATCAAAGGCAACAATTAAAATTGGTGTCTGTGCAACTGTAAAGTTAAAGCATCAATGTGAGCTGCACTTTGATTGCTTTTTGCCATCTTACAAGTTACTGGCATTTGTTTACAATAGTTTTATTCATCCATCATATATACAACAGATGGCAAATTTAATGTACATGTAAGCAGATATTAGACTGAACTTTATATGCAGCTGGCAGTATTGCATTTTTATAACATACCAGTTTTTGGTAGACTTCAAAAAGGTCAATTCTATAAATAACATCAAAGCACCACTTATCAGCCGCTGATTGACAGTACTGACTGTTTATTTGCCTCCTATAAACCTGTCCAGCTGGACACCAAATCTAGTTCATCCGCAAAGGTCATTAAACCATGATCAATTCAAAACAGACTAGATAAACTAACTATTATGGGAAAAACCATTGATAGAAAACGGGAGTGAAAGCATTCAAATATTTCAACTAAAACCACAGAGTAAATACAAACCACAAAATCTATGATTTCATTCACAAAATTGAATTCCAAACAGTGAATATCAAAGCAACGTCAAATCTCTAAAATTTAAACCAGTGCATATTATTGTTAACATAAAATAATTCATTTATTTTTGTTTAAGAACATACACTACGCCCAGGGATGGTCTTTAAATATACAACAACAAAAAATGATCCTTAAAGGCCCAATGCTGCCCTGAATAAACAATGTTTTAAAGTAGACTTAAAAATGAAGGTGGCAGAACATGATACATGAATAAAGAACACTCAATCATAGCACATCACAACCATTATGCTGAAGGGCAGGTCTGACACCAAAAGAAGAATTTTAACGGAAATCAATGCAACTGGTGGTATGCAATTATGGTTTCTACTTTCTAAAACTATCTTATTTGATGCATTTAGAGAAGCACACCAGTGCCAACACTCCCTGGCCAAGGCTAACACTACATACAGTAAGGGATATAACATTATCCCAGTCCCAGGGACAATCAATAAGGCCTTTAAAACAATCACAAATTTTATACACAAGAACCTTGGTTTATTAATGACCTTGGCTTAGCAGGTCAAAGTTTGTGAGGTTATAGGTCAAACCATTATTTACCTAAATTCTGAGAGGATGTACAACTTTTAGAAATGTGGAGGTTTAGAGAAATCTACTCATTATGCGATGGTCAAGCAGACAGGTCATGTTTACTGTCATTAATTACGTCAGGAGTCATTTCCAGAGATTGAATATCTACTCAAATCATTTCCATACATTGAAATGGAATGCATACAAGCTTGAAGCAATAGTTCTAATGTTATTTGCACTCGATATCTACATACATTCAAGTTCATTTCATCTATTCTAAACCTTAATCTTTTTACTTGTTTCATAGCATAGTCAAATTGCAGCCTGCCACTTAAGAACATAGTGTTCATTTTTTAGTCCAAAATTGGTTCTCAGCTTAATGTTTTGTTAGGCATTATAGGCTAGCAAGAAAACAATTTAAACTGCAAATTATTTCCGCTAAATAATACTGAATTATATTATTGATTTGTTGGGATAAACAATGTTATTGGAATAATTAAGTTAAAAATAAATGGGAACCAATACTCTTAAAGACACGCACCACTGAGCAAAGCAAAATTAAATCAAAATAGTAGCAATAATTATTATTTTTTGATTAATCTATTCTACCATACACAAGATATTTGCAGTCTCATGATGTGTGGCATGGCTGGAAGGATCTTTATTTGAAGTTATTGTCTGATTTATTTGATAATCTGAGAAACGATAGATCTTTAAATAAATAAAGAAATGCTGGTCTTTGGACTAAAATCTAAATCAATGAAACTATTCCAGGATAATGACAGTTGACTTGCATGCTCTTTAGATACTACACAATAAAGACTTCATTTTAGGACATGATTTCTATCTTCCAAATTACCTCTGGCACCAATTTAAAACCCAATTAGGGTAAACCTAATTTGACAAAATACTCTCTGCAGTCAGATCAATCAATGACACTTGACAAAATCACAGCACAAATTGATTGTTAAAAATCCATCAGAAAACAGCCCACAATGTAACCCATATCTTTTCATTTTCAGACCATGTTTATGTCAAGTATTCACTTCTCAAATTACAAAACTTTAATTTAATATATTCTAGGTAATTTTCTACGGTAGAGCTAACTTTCATGAAATATTAGTTGCCATAGCAACAAGCTGCTAGATGGGGTTCAAGAATTTTATGATTGAGAACCTTATTCCTAATTACTGATATTTCTATGGTTTCACTAAATGCCTGACTATTATAGTGGACAGGATATGACTCGTGACATTTACTTAAAGATATCACAAATAGTGATCATATTTTAACCATGAATGTGCTAACCCCAAAATCTGTTTTTGAACAGCAGATTGACAATAGAGTAAATTTTGTAATGAGACTTCATCGGTAATATATGAATTTGTTACAATACTGCTCAGAATGGTGGTTACAGTACATACACCAAACTAGAAAACTTGATACTTACCCGCTCTGTTTCACTAAGCATGCTTACATTGACATTAGCCATGGCTGTAGTGTTATAATTGTAGGGCCCTCACACAAAACTAATAGGCAGCTTGATCTAGAGAAAAACAAATAGCAATGTTACAACTATAGTTTATAAATAACTCAGTGCAGTCAATGTCTTGACATTTATCACTCAATAACTTTGCTTGGTGGTGTAATAGATTTCAAATATCAGACACAGACATGTGTACTGCAATAAAGTGAAAGCTAGGAATACACACCAGTAAATATACAAATTACATTGGACATAATGATAAGTTAATACTAGAAATGTTTGCTATTAGTAGATTCAATGGCTTTCATAAAAAGATAAAATTTTGAAAATATTTGCAACTCCCAGTCTAAAAGAACTACATGAAAAATGTTTTACTACTACAAAAATGACTCACCAGTGTTAACAATTTGTGTCTGAAATTTAAGTAATTTAAAGTATGCTAGGCCTACATGTGATTATGGCAACATGTTAACACGACAGTAGTTACTATAATATACGTGTCAGATCATAGCAATAAAGGGAAATTAGAATTTGATATGACCATACAAATATATCGAAGCATACTGTATTTGCTTTATCAAATTAATATCTCTAATAGAAGCCATGCAAACCAAAAGTTGAAAGTATTGTATACTGCATTATTCATGTACTTTATGGCAAGGAAATCACAAAGTATGCATGAAGACAGTACAGTGGTATTGAGTATTGTCAGATATGTCATGAAAAATTATGTGATCGCATACTATAATAATATACATCTTTGCAAACCAACATTTTGATATAGGAATCCATAGCTGAGCAAAATGATGAACATTATTAGAACTTTCTCGCTGTGAACTTCATTTTCAAAAACCTTGGAAATGCAACATGATCGATTATTATTTGAAATGTGCATTTTCTAATATAGTAGGATACCACTTGCAATACACACTGTTACTTGTGGCAGTACAGTGACAGCTTAATAATAAAACTTCATATGACCATTGACACGACCCATTTACACAACTGTACGCCCTACTAATAGAGCTAATACAGTAGTTAAAATATACTGAAAACATTATTTGGCGTGTCCATATCCTGCTTAGTCCATACATTCATAGTACCAGTAGTAAATGAGTAATGGTTGAAACAGACCACTCATAACTTGGCAATGACAGCGAGTACTGGCTATAGTCTTCACCTGAACAGCCCACATTCCAACCATATATCCAATATCCTAATACACAGATAGCATGGATGAATGACAGACTACCAATGATCAGCTTGCAACATTATCATAAAACAGCTCCAGTAATGTCTATACAAGTCTTGAACCCTGGCAGTTCAATTGGCTCAAGGCTTTCCTTGCCCAGCTGACTAGATTCCAATGAAGAAACACTATCTATACATCACTATGTGCCAGACTTATAATCAATTGTACTTAAGCGGTATGTAAATTGCTTACTTGTAAATTCCTTGAAACAATTACAATAGAAAAATTGTTAGGCCGGAATATTAAAATAATTCTATTGCGCACTATTCAGTAATATCCACCAGCAAAGCTCCCAACTTGATAAACATTACTTCTGCCAGGCTGTGCAATTAAGGTTCGAATAAATCCAAATCCAATACAAAATCTGGCAGCATACGAGCAGTGAAGTATAATCCTTCGATACAAGCTGTAGTGTGTGCATGGATGGCAATGTGTTGTTTTTTTCAAGGACGAAAATGACTGAAAAAACATACACCCAGAGAGGAAGGTACTAGAGTTTACTTCATTGTTATTGGCTAAGCTTGGATGATTAACTATGCAATTCCACATTGGCCGATAAAATGGGGAACGATTTATGGGACAGAGTCTGCGTTGCATAGAAACACAGTAATTTAGCGTACATTGCCCTCGCCTTACGAGGCCTTGAACATAAAAATTATTAACCGACATAAAACGTGAGGACAGCCTTCCTGTGACGTGCAACCAACGTGACAACATTCGTGGCCTACGCAAATTCAATGTCTTATCTCAGAGCGTTACTGAATAAATATTTTTTGGAATACCAGTGAACAGTTTTTCATAACACTCGTATGAAAAAATTTGGTTGCCAAACAGGTTTTACTTTTTTTTTATAGAACAAGCAATAATGATGTACCAATTAATGACCTTGTCAATACAATAGTTATACTAAAACTGCAATATAAACGAACTACAGTGCAAGTCTAGTGCACTGACTACCTGTAACTTTTATCAGTATTTTACAATCAATATTTATACTACATGTGGTGGTTTTATTTTTTAAATGACAATCTTTCATCTTTCACAAGACTAACATAATGTTAATCATTTTTTTCAACTTTTATTTTTAATTTGTTGCCAATAGGACAGACATAATACCATTGACAATTACATGCGTAGGATAAAATAGAAAAATTGTACAACTAAACTCTTGGTAGAAGTGTTTATAATAAATTTTAGAGAAATTTCCAGAAAAGTTATTCACTGGAAAAAAATACTATTTTGCAAAAATAAAACGAAATTTACTCTGACAGGTAATTTTCTATGACAAAGTGACAAAAGTGAAGTACTAAAGATAGTTAGGTCAATCTGTTAAAGCTTTGGCAAGAAGATCGGCGTGTCCTTCCTTGAACATAAAATACATAAGGGTGCTTTTGACAATCATTTTTGGACGCAATTTTCTGATCTTTACACCCAGTAAGAGCTGGAATGTTTTGTCACGAAGAAGTAAGTTGCCCCTCACCCATAACTCTAATCCTGCCCCTCCCCTCATCCATTTCAATTTATATCTCTTCTTTAGGTCAATTATGATTAATTGGAGGGGCATATTGAATTCTATTGGGAGGCTGGAGTATTAGGGTTCAGGCTAGAGACTAGGGTTGTCTCAAGGAACTCTTACTGGCGACAGATGATCTAAAAGTTGCAGAGAAAAAAAGATACCGATTATTTAAATTACCATAATAATATCCATTGTTAGTACATTTTATTCTACACTCTTTAGAACGTGTATATTTATAAACTGAAAACTTCTGTAGATGTCTGAATGTAGCACCAATCTAGAATGGTTATAAACTGGGATAGAGATCAGATAATGTTTACATCAATCGATACAACATTAACATCCTGCCCAGTGACACAGTGGGCTGACCTGTACATGTATTGATATAGCTTTGTCATATAACCAGTCTATGAACAGAAGGAAATAATCTACAATTAAACACGGGAGATCAGACAAATTCAAGTATTGATATATGCAGTCTATAAATGTATCTAATTTTTGTTCACAAAACAGAACATGATCATATATATCATAAAGGTCAATTGTGAAACGCAAGCAATCTGTCAATCAAGACATTCCAGCTGTTTGTTGATTTATAACATTATCAACATTTAGTAGTTTTTAAAAAGCAAGTTTTAACAAAATAAATGAAAAATATTCACTAATTTCAAGAGAATTGATATCATGAAATGAACATATTTGATAGGTCTTCCACAGTACCTAAATACAAAGTACGGTAGTTTTGAAGCGGAAGTCAAAAATAGAAATTACCAAGCACATGCAATCAGTAAGATCACCAGTAGGCAACTACAACTCAAGCAAAACTGAAATTATACCATATTCCCTTTTTTGGAGTTTACATTTCCTAATAAGGTAGAATACCAAAGCCCTATTTACAAAGTCGTGAAGATACAGAAACAGACGATACTATATAGGACTTGGTCAATGATTTTACAAGTACAACAATGAGGTGTAAGAAGTCAAGTGACTAAGTACTAAGTACTCATAAAAAGGTAATAGCATCTAGTGTTTTACAAGTCAATATCCATCAGTTTTGTGTAATCTAGAATGTGAAGTACAGTGACACTGCTGCAAAAACTGACGATAGTCAAGTTTTTTTAAGATGTCTATCATCGACAAGGCCCTTACACTGTTTATGCCTCTGAACAAGACTTCACTTCAAAAAGATGGTCATAGTTAATAAGTAAGTTTTATTGTTATTGACTGGTATCTTGAAACAAATTTTTGATGTGCCTCAATTTTTAAAATTTAGAACTGCAAAGCCAAGTATTTTGACCAATCTTGGATCAAAAATGGCTGCCAATGTAGGATTTAATGCATTGTTATTTTCATACAGTTTTTTTTTTTTTTGCTTTTAGTTGTGTATTAGCACTTAGCAAAGTAAGAAATTCTATTTTTAAGTTACAACAATTTGTAATAGCAGTCCATCCTTGTAATGTGTGCTTTCACTACAACAATTACATTTTAAAAATTAAGCCAAAGTTGTGTACATATATCAACCCAATGATAGGAATTCTCAAAAATTATTTTCCCAAAATACAAAGCAAAGAAAACCCATGTCAATTCAACAAAAGATGGTTCAGTTCACATCTGATAACTCAACTTAAAACAAATCCAGTTCTCAATTTGGACACCCACTCAAGGTTCAAGTGTATCACTATGGTGATGCCTGAGAGTACAAGGCAAATCACTGGAGCAGAACCAAGAAACTGATGGGAACAAACAAGTGTTTCCTGTCCACTTTTATGCAAATTAACACACCCCAAGTGTAATTTCTATGCAAATTAGAATTGCCAAATATAGACATAGTGGTCAAAAGGCCTGATGACATTGAACAGTCAGCCAATTCAACTTGAATTTGACTGCCAAAAACTACACAATGGAAACTTGAGACGTTTTTGTGGATGGCGAGTATATTCAAAAGTTGTTTCAGAAAAGTACTAGACAACATTCATCAAAAGTTGCACAAAACATGACCTGAACTGTCAATTTGAGAGAAAATGATTATGTTCTCGTGTTGGAAGGTCCACCCAAATACTGTTAGTTGTAGTCACAAATTCTAAAAATAGAATAAGTAATTTATATTGCCAATGTATTATGTTACAGTGTGAACAGACAGTCGAGTAAACCATAGCTTGACTATTAAATATACAAATACAATATAATTATCAAGCCATGTTAAACTTGCTTGATTATTCCAATTATACAACATGTCATACTGATTATTTCGGTTTCACAAACTTCTTATTTATCGCCCAAAAATTGATATCAACTCTTGACATACTACACAAAATAGAACAAATATAGCTTTATGATGACTAATTTATATACAACAGTTATTGGTAAATTATTGAATAGACAACTTAACATAATTAAAGCACCTCTATAATATTTGAGAGATAAAAATAAAATATTCAGCAATTTCAATTCTCAACCTAAATCTGAAATCCACTTAAACTCGCATACATATTGTATATTTAGTTTCTTTTAAATTAATTTTCTCTAGCATAACAGTGAAGCCGTAATAATACACTTTCCATTTTAAAGGTCATGGCATTGTACTCTTAATAAAATTTACTAACAGTTTTTTTTGCATGCATTGTATACTAATGTACATCATATTGTTTGCTAATTTGTCTTTTTGCAAATAGAAAATCTATTCCCAAACACGACCAAAATCAGACAAAAGACCACTACTAACGACTACCGGTAGTCTAAATTTCATAAAATCCATTTTCTTTTCCTTAGAGCTACTACTAACAGCTGTTTGGGAAGTCAATTCATATGAACAAGGCTTTACAGAGAAAATCAGCAATTTTAATTTTAATATAAAATAAAACCTGACAGACAGTGGTGCAAACAAAATTCAACCTCTGAATGAACCCAACCACAATGAAAAATATCAGAATAATGAAATAAAACGTCTCCATAGAACGAAAATGAAGGTGTAAAAATGAAGGAGTCTTTAAATTTCCACTCATTGAAAAGCAGAGCCTGACTTGGCCAATAGTACATGATTTACATGCCACCCCTCTACATGGGAAATATTTTAACCAAATGTTACATAAGCCATGAAAAAACATGTTGAATTCGAATTAACGATATACTGGCAACATCAGGTAAAATTGAAACTGCACAGATTAATTTAGTCTGAGTTCCATGGTCTGAGTATATGCTATGCAATGCATTTCAGTAAAATACAGCACCATTTTAAAAATAACATTAATATGGCCAATACCACATTGGTAAATAAGCTTGGACATAGAATTGTCAGTGAAGACAATTTAATGAAATTCACTGCATTGTTACTAAATATGAGAATTCACAGTAACTTATTTAACCTTGCTGCTGACTTTCCTTTGGGAGAAGGAAGAAATAATTCATTCCACCAACAATTAAGATGAACATGTACACCCAAATAGATGTGTGTGTGCAAGTAATACCATACACAATGTAAAATATCAGAAAAATTACTGCAAATCATTTCTGAAAATTCAGGGAGTCGTGTATATTTGTGTTAGTCTGGGTCATCAGAAACTTGCGTTAAGATTAAACAACATAACTCATCCCCCAAATCAGACTAGCAGTAGAAGTCTACACCCCAATGTATACAATCCTATTCTAGTTAAATCTACTGTATTAATATCCACAATAGTACTGAGAGACAGATGGTGTGCATTAGACAAGTGATGGAATTTATAATATATTCAACAAGGGCCATGTGGATATCAAGTTTTCATATTTAACCAGTGATTGATGTGGGTTCACTATCAGCTGACAAAAGACTTGGACACCTCTGCCTAGCTGACTAATTATATTGCAACACAACAAAACCAATTGAGACAAACTGTCAATTAGCTGTTAATCATTACCCATGGACGGCAAATACTAATCTCTCTGCTCTTTTGTTTCAGCTGTACAACATCTAGTCCATTATAACAAATATGCAATGCCTGCCACCCAGTGCAGTACACCAAGAAATTATCTTTTGTTTTGACAAGGTCTGCAACCCATTGCAGTATACCTAGGCTAGTCTTGTTTTGACAATGCCAACCACCCACTGGAGTAAAGTAATGAGATTTCCAGCTGATCTCTTAAACTGCTCCAAATGTATAGCAGACACATGAACCATTTTTTTAGCTCCATGCATGAACACAATCAAAAGATAAACCTTATATTACAACAAACTATTTTTTTTTCAAAATCTACTATCAGCAGCAGCAGATGATAGTACAAAGGCAAATGTTATCGATATATTAACAACAATAATTATTTATACAGAGAAGTGGCCTGTAATCATCACATAAAGTCAATAAATTTATGCATTTTTAGTCTTGAACATTTATTATAGGGGAGTTATGCAGTTGATGTATTACTTGTAATATAATTAGCTCTGAGTACATTTCATGAATTAGCTCTGAGTACATTTCATGCCAGATGCAAAAAAAAGCTTGGCATTTCTTTCCAGTTACCATCTGAACAGAATGAAATAATTTTATTTTTTAAATTAAATTTAGAATCCTTGTATAATTAATTTTAACATTGACAAAATACAAACATTGCATTGGGCCACATGAATAAATACATTTTCTAAGACAGGCTCACACTCCAAAAACAAACAGAACTAAATGTCAACATCTTGGTAACCTTAAAGCAAAACTAAACTCAAACAGTCGTGAAATGTGATAGACACAATCAAATATATTGGACAGCTCATTTGACATTTTGAGGAGCAATTCACTCATCTGTCCCCTCAGTTTGACCCGTCTAGTATGAAAGACCAACCAAGAAAACTGCTCCCTCCAAAAGGACAATAGAATGACTGTCCGTCCACTTAATCAATGGAATTCAAACAATCTTTTCTGGCAACAGGAAACTGGAGGTGTGTGGGATTGTTGTTGCCATTTTTTGACCCCGAGTAATCAAAACCGTCTTTCTACATGTTGACTAATCACACAGGTGAGAAGGTACCTCTAAACAAAGCAACTTTATTGAGTCCCTCCATGTCCCGAATGTTTTTTTTAATTCAGTCAAACTTACAATACTGTTGAAACGTTTTTTCCACAAAAAAATAAATATTAGTGACAATTTATTTTTAGAAGACATTGCTCCACAAATGTATGTATGTATGGAAGGTCCTATTACAGCAAATGGATTTTGATTGAAATAGTTATGAACAATAACAACCAAGTCTCATGAACCCATTTCAGAAATGCATTCTGTACACCAACGGAGAAATCGTATTCGTAAACGGAACAGACGTGATTTAAAATTATACCACGGTACACTGGTTTCTCGATTAAAATCCCATGATTAGGGAATTTCACAACTTTTTAATGACTTCTTATTTCTCGCTAGTTTACATTATTGGCAAAAGTTCTAACTTAAGGACTTGTCGAACTCGTAAGTGTTTATTTACAGAAACGCGTTAATGAATTATAGCAAAATCAGTAGAAATACATACTAGCCCTGCGTTTGTCAAACAATGGGGGCCAAACGAACAGTTGGTGCATTCGAACACCATTCACCTCGCAGCGTGGTGTCCCGGTCAATCACTGGGGTAGATAACCCAAGAAATGCCGAGACATTCGTCACCAACGACCGAAGAACAACTCTAACCTATCAAATGAATGATTTCGGGAATGAAAATCACAGCAGTTACTGTTTCTCCGCGAAATAAATTTTGAACTGTGTGCAAGTTATGAAGTGTACACAGTGTTCTACGAGGTAATATATGCATCCCCGTTTGTAAATAATGGGGACCTTGCACTGGAAATGGCTTCGAAAATCGTTAATACGACCCAAAGAGAACAGAAATAAATAGTTTCCTCTTAATTGCAGACATGTGAACACCAACCAAAGTACAATTGACAGAGTAAAGCGGCAGCTAAGACAGAGAATTTACTGAAAAACCAATCGGACTTATTTGGAAGGGTCCGTGACACGAAGTGGGAAGGGGTATACATTTCAACAGCTTGGTTAGAGTCGAAATTACCTGGGTTCTCACTCGAAATTGTTGTTCACTAACACTAAATTGAACTTACCTAATGACCAGGGCCTACAGACACTACTCGGGTGGTTACGAGACCCAAAATTGAGCTCCAAAGTCGGTAAAATAACACAGAATCCGTATATAGAATGCAGACAGAAAATGGCGTGGCTCTGCAAATGTAACGAACAACGCTGAGTGGAAGACCTGTCAATCACGCAACAGAACCTTCCGAGGCGAACAAAATAGTGACAGCGAAAGTTGCTAATAGGCAGAAATCTAAGGTCATATGATTTTTTTTCAACTAAAAGATACGTACCCAACTTACTTATGTGGATCATATAACTTTCTCAATACTGTTTTCAGGTTAAATTTTACAAAACAGATGAAATATCAATTAGCGGATGGATAATCCGTAGGTGGTGAAGCGGTGTAAACAGACTCAGTGGATCGGAATGTGTCAGAGCAATGGACACTTTTCCATAGACAGTCTCATTTGCATTAAAATTACACCAACAAACATTTTCTTAGCTACATCATACTTAATCGATTAACCCATCTCAAAGATAACATTTTCGGCCAATTTCTACAACTCTTCAACGGCAAATGAACTTCTATAAGTTGTTCTTTTACTTTTCACATTAAAAACTATTTACTAATATTCAATCACTGTGACACGCCCTAGTGGACGATACCATTCGGTAGACAGGGCCATGTTTGGGTTTCTTGGTGTGAGAGGTCATTCATTCGATCTCTTTGCCTCTGCGGGGGAAGAGAGACATTGACAGACGCCTGCCTGTCATATTACTAAGAAAACCAGAAACAACTGTCACGGTAATTATAACCTAGCTATTTCATTTCAGGATTTTTTTTAGTCGCAATGATTGTTAATTTAAAATTTGTGCCCGTAAATCGCCCACCATTACGGCAACACCCGTTTAACAGAAAGTGCGATTTAAAACCAAACAGAACAAAACTTGGGTGTGGAGGGGGCTAGTCGAGAGTTTCGTCGACGCGATCAACGGATACCAATAGTTATTTATCCACGTAACTTGCAGGTGAACAAAAATAAAACTACAATACTCTGCCGAATTTCAAACCCATTTTCTCTCATAGGCTGATCATGGACCTATAAACTCATGAGACGTAGCTGCGAGGCCGTACTGCTAACAGGGCCTTGCCATATCCATTATGATAAGCCCCTATTGAAACATTACGCAACACAAATGAACATGTGTACAAGGGCGGAGCAGTTTGAATAGGTTCATGAAGACTCAATTGAATTATCTCTAATTGCAGATATCAGGAGGCTGACCACTTCTAATTGCTCACCCTTATAGGTGTGAAGTACAAAGTCCACCAATAAGTTGTGAAAGTGGGAGGGAAGCTAACGCGCAATGAAACTGACTGACTTGGCATCACTCACGATACCACTACACTACGCAAGCCATTTGGCATTTCCGATTTGCCGTACTTCTTTATAAGCACGGAAAGAAAGAAGATACCTAAATGATACATAAGAAAAATCACTCAGAAATCTTATTTTTTGTCAAGTACAAACACTAGATGGCAAAATTAGTTAAGGCTTGAGTTTTTGTGTCTACCTCAGTATGTTATACATGAATATCCAAATTATAGATGTTTATTGTTAGCATGGAAGTAACAATATTTTCCCGTCTACTATATATAGTATGATGTAAATGTCCACGTGTATGTTGTCTCAGAGTATATACCTTATCTGCATGAACGATGTTGTTAAAGTTTGTAGAATGGTCCACGTCAAATACAAAGTGGGACTAAAACGGAAGATGATTTGAGACGTAGGAAAACAAACACCTAACAATAGGTTAATAAATGGGAGTTCTTCCCTTTGGAGTGAAAAAGAATATGTGAGAGTCCCCCCCCCCCCCTATGGGGGTCACAGTATACGAAGGTTGCTGCCTGGTATTTTGTTTTCGAACGCCTAAGTAAACGTTTTTCACATTTCACAGACAAATTAAACTTGAATAATTGTTATATCCAATAGGAAATTATGTTTATTTGGTCAAAACATACGTACAAATATACAAATTGTTGTACCAAAATTTGTTGCGGGGAATGACGCAACGGTGTACGGTATCGACTATCGCAAATACATTCTTTTCGGCTCTCGGAACACCACGGCAAAGACCTTGATTCCACAACTTGCACAGATCACACTGTGAGCATATAGCATTTGTATTGTATGTTTATTGGTCCATACGGTTTCCTACATATGGGAGGCGGGTATTCTCATACGCAAACATCCGCCCATTAACACTGACTAATACTAATAGTCCACACAGCAGGCTTTCTCGTAAACAACTCAATAATGTAGGTTTATAAATAAACTTTCCCTCAGATAAGGCAGTTAGGTATATAAATGCCATTGTAGTTAGTTATATCTCAGTATTACATGAGTTAAAAAGTAATAGACTACTAGTTGCCTCAGATATTGTAGATTGGAGGAGGGGGGGGGGGGGTAAATGTGCGTAGTTTATGTGCCAGATATTGTAGATTGGTGGAGGAGGGGGGGGGGGGGTAAATGTGCGTAGTTTATG